CCTAACTCTGATACCATGTTAGGACATGGGGCCTAACTCCACCTAATAAAATCGGCTTATTAGGGGAGGATTGCCCTCACCTTATTAAGTGGATCATTTATATTTTCCCAAACAATGTGGCATTCTAATAGCTTGGGCATTCCAAAATCGAGAATAGGGCAAATAATTACGGCCACCCCATCCCTGTTCTCTTACAGTATTGATAATTCTTTAAGACGTACAGTTATGTACCTTCTTGAGGAGATAGGAATCGAGAAACGTGATCTAAGTAAAGTTGTGCAGTTAAGCCTCAAATTATGGTTCAGCGGATAGACAATACATGGACTACTCGTTTCAATTTTCTGACAAAAGAGTTGGGAGCACCCAGAGAGAGTATAGTAAAGATGGTCATGAAACACCCTCAAATACTTCACTACAGTATTGAAGACGGATTACGCCCCAGGATCAATTTCTTGAGAAGTATTGGGATGTGCAACTCTGAAATACTGAAATTATTAACTAGCCTTACACAGGTCAGATGGATTCTCTTGTGCAATTGATTTTGTACCTCAAACTACAATTGGGTTGCTCAACCAACTTGTCCTCAAAATTGATTCCATACTTCTATCTTATAGATCTTGTTTCACTTGACGTCACAATTAAATATAATTCTCGATGATGTCATCTGTGTATGCAGGTATTCTCTCTATCATTGGAGGGAAATCTGAAACCCAAATACATGTACTTGATCTATGAACTTAGAAATGAGGTCCATTCCCTGACCAAATATCCAACATACCTAAGCTTGTCTCTCGACCAGCGAATTCGACCCCGCCATAGGTTTTTGGTTTCCTTGAAGAAAGCTCCGAAAGGACCATTTCCGTTGAGTTCACTAGTTCCAACTGATGAAAGCTTTTGCCACCAGTGGGCAGGAACTAGCTTAGACAAATATCTGGATTTTCGGGAGAGATTGCTTCCCAAAGAGTTTGCAAAGAAGTACGAAAGCAATGATTGGTTCCATTCTCATTCCTAGTCTACTTGGTAGTACAAACAGCGTAATCGTACGTCGTACACATTACAGTAAATTGAGATACATATACTCTTTTCCTAGAAGCACATTAAGGTGAGTCAGATGTTCATGACACATACATTTTTATTCAAAAAACATGTCTGATATTACTCAATCTCTGTTTTATATCTGTGCCAGGCCCAGATTATGTCTAAATTTTGCTATACAATTTTGTAAGGTGTAGCAGAGTACTTTTACTAACTTCTGTTGATTCCAACAATCGAACGTCATCACTGGAACCCATCATATCAAGGTTAGGTTTGATTCAATTCTGATAAACATGAACTATCACAGTGTAAGCATTCACGCGCGACAACATGCACATGAAACATGGAGGACAATACATCTTCATTTGAATACATCTTATCGTTATTATTATGCTTTTTATGGGTCTAATTATCTGGTCAACTAAAATAGTTGAACTGAATTCTAGAAGTATGAATTGCACAATCATTCTTATCATCTACCTCGTTTTTATTTTTAAACCCAAATTCTAATGTTTGCCTCTTCTGGGACAGGTTTGTTATTTGATTGCAACTCGTTAAGAGAAAAGATATGCAATAGCTAGTCTTGGCGGCCGCTGATTTCTTGCTGAAGGATTCCATTGTGCTTGATTTTTTGACACTTCCCGTCTTTCATACTTCTTATTACGTACAATGGGTATGCTTTTCCCTGTTGCGCTACCAGCTTGTATTTTGATTGCAGTAAGAAGATACCAGTGATTATTATTTCCAATTTCCTTTTGAATAGGTAGTGGTAATTCATCTATTTTTCCCCAATAAAGGCATGATTAACTATTTCATAAAAATCATTCTTTTCTACTGGAGCTACCCTCTTGTATATTTTGTTGTAATATTTGTCCTCTCTTGTGCTTGGTATGTATTATGAATTGGGATACTTCTTAGCCATGAAAATATTTGTTCATCTATATTCAAAATGTTGGCAAAGTTATTTCTATCATTTGTTTGTTCGTACTTGACCCCAAGTGCACGACATCGTTAACAAGTAGTCTTTATAAAAAAAACTTCATTGATGCTAAATTTCGTGTTCTCGACTACCAGTCATGACACAAGTAGCTTACACAAGTTTTAGACACCACTCCCGAACTTAGGACAAACATTGTCCTTTATGTTTAACTAGTACGAAGATATTTGCAATTGATGCTCTTTTAATTCACTAATTGGATCAAGATTTTTAAACTGTTGCATTGCCAAACATGTCATAAGTGGTTGAAAGAATATTTGGCGCCAACGATGAGTAAGATGTTGCGAAATTGCATGGAAATGATGACGAATCAATTTTCCACAATGTCCATTAAGTTGATCAATAGGAGTTTGGTTTTCTTTTCTACTTTTGACTTTTGTTATCAGAATATGAGTTTCAACCATCAATGATATTTTGTTTGCATTAAATCAAGCTTGTTGTTTTGATATTAGGGTCTGTTTGATTGCAAATGTGGAATTTGGATGGAAAGAAAATAAATTATAGGGAATTGAATTGCCTAAAATTTGTTTTACTGAAAATTGTAATTAATTATGTTTGATTGACATAATTTTCCACTTGAAAAATGTTGAAAGTTTGATATCCGTTTGATTTTGTTTTTATTTTTTTTTACCATTTGGGTTTAGAATTTGTGCCAATTGCCAAATTTTTTTTTTAAAAAAAAATTACCATACCGAATACCATTCGTTTGGCTTTGTTTTGCATGAAAATTGTTAATAACAGTGATAAATTTTTTTATTATTATATCTAGAATTTTTTTCAATTGTCAAAAAAAAAGTTGGAAAACCATTTTCCACACAAACCATGGGAAAATGAATTCCACAAAAATCAAGAAATTGTGCACGTATGAGTGGAAACCAAGAAAAACAATTCTAGAAAAAACTTTGCAATTTGCCAAGTTATGGAATCGAATCGGAACCACCAGTTCAAACCAAATTATTTTAAGAAATATGCTCATCCCTGTACGCTACCAAATTATTNAGTGGAAACCAAGAAAAACAATTCTTTGAAAAACTTTGCAATTTGCAAAGTTATGGAATCGAATCGAATCGGAACCACCAATTCAAACCAAATTATTTTAAGAAATATGCGCATCCCTGTACGCTACCAAATTATTTTAAGAAAATTTAAATATTTTTTTCTTTGAAATACTACTGATAAATGCTATCCACCATTTAAAATTATTAATTTTTATTATACTACCATTCAATTTTATTAAAAATTCTTTAATTTAGGGCGTGTTCCGTAGAGATTAAAATCGGATTAAAATTAAAAAACTAGCCGTTATTGTTGACTTTTATTAGACGAGTGAGATTCAATAACGACTATATTTTCAATTTTAATCGAATTTTAATCCGGACCAAACACGCTCTTAGTATATGATTCTGTTAATCAAATGGAGAAATGAACGGGTTCCTAAGTGAAGAACATTAAAAATAAAGGGAGCCGCTATTTACGTCCACCAATGTTATATATCTATCTTACTATACATCCATTCCACCCCTATTAAAATTTTAAAAAATACTACTTTCATCCACGTCACATTTCAATATTGTCTTCATCATTTATAAACACACACACACATCCCACTCTAAATCTCTTGCTATTATAATTTCAATTTTTTTTAAAAAAAACACATTATTATATTTCCTTTACTCGTTCTTGATTTTCTTTATGCTTATTATTATTCTTGAAAAAGGGATCGGTGACTAATTTTTCCAAATTCAAATTAAAATAATTTGTAACTCATCATTTATATCGGCGACTAATTCTTGTATATTTTTCCAAATTCAAACTAAAATAATCAACAGCCCATCAGGTGTAGCATCGGCGCCGTCATTCTACGAAGCAAAAGGAAGGAATTATTTTATCAGACTGTACTCTCTATCTCTATTATAAAAGTATAATGTGTTGAAATTTGTAAGTTGTTAAATTCAATAATCACACAATAAAAAAATAGAGTGATTGTAACTATCTGAGTATGAAGAGTCAAACTCATCGTTTATTTTAAAGAGTTATGAATAGAGTCAATTGAAGCTAAATTCCAAATATTGACTCGCTAAATTTAAAGAGTCTTTTGCAAATGTTCAAGTGAAATGCAAAAATACGATCCATGTCTATCGTATGTTACTATCTAAACTGAAAGTGCTAGAATGTGTGCGACTCCATAAAACAATTGATGTTCTCCTTCCCAAATACTAATTGTGAAATAAATAAAATTTCAAACGCTATCTACCCTAATAAACTATATCAATTGATTATATATTTTTTGTAATTACTATGTACACCTAATCCATTATAAAAGTCTACCATGAAAATGATATCATTTCTTGCGTCACCTTATAATCTGTTTACTATTATACTATTTATGTTGAGTTCTTTTTTCCACCTTGATAGTGAGAGATCAATTATATTCTTTATTCTAAAAATGCTATATCTATCGAAGCAACAAAGACCAAAAGAGTTCTCGGCCCAATGAAGTAGACGAGAGTTCTAGTCCTTGTGCAACCCAAGAAGCGAATGAAATATAAAAGACAAATGAAATAGATATTTGATTGAATCTTCTTCTTTTTTGCTATCTTAGTATTGTCTAATGTTCGGCTATTTTAAAGTTTGTGGTCCATCAATCACCACCCATTATAGATGTTATATTGGATTGAATGCGACCCTCCGGGGCATAGCTCAGTGGTGCAAAGGACATGAGTGAGGTAGTCTCGACTGAGTTGGCAACCGCAGTGTGAATGTTCGATTCCTACTTCTTACAAAGTATGAAATTAGATTCTTTGTAGGCACCAGTATGACAGTTCTTGTACCTTGACTTGTTGATGCACATCCCGCGATTTACCTCCTCCACAATACTCTAGGGGAGGGGCAGTGGAGGCCCCTCAAGGTTGGGGTTCAAACTTTATATTGGATTGAATGCGTCATCGAAAAACAATCATGCTATATAAACATAATAGTTGGCATAATGTCACTCGACAATCTATCATTGCACAGTTTAAATTACAGTTAAGTTTTTTATCCAATCACATCTTGTAAACAATTATTATGCTACCTTATGTGTCACCTAATTTATGTCAAAATAGCATTACTAATCGAAAAATAATTAAATAGGGAAAGTAGGAAATGATGACAAGAAGCAGCAGCCAGGAATTTTCTTTCTCATTTTCCACAAGTCGACTTTTGTTGATTGGCGACACAACTTGGGTGCGAAATTGACTAGAAAAGACGAATTTGCATAATTATTTGGCATTACTTGTTAAAGGATATAATCATGTAAAAAGTAAATAACAATCAACTTACAAAGAGGTAAATTTACTCAAACAACAATCATTACTTGTTAAAGTATATATCTTTCATGTTTGCTAACCATTTTCCCCCTCCTTTTTGGTCAAAAAGGTTTAGAAAGTATATGAGGTGGTTTTAATGATAAAGAGATCAAATTAATCCGATAGTTTTTCGAGAATTTACATGATCAAAAAATATTTATAAAATTAATTAATAGGCAAACCCTATTAAGTAAAAGATAATTGTCGAATTAGTTTTAGAACATGTATGATATCTAGTACTAAATCCAAATTTTTAATAAATTTTAATAAAAGTTGATGAAATATGTGGTTGAGAAATTATCCTCATAAAATATGTAGTTAAAATTAATTATTGATTTGACTTAAAGTTTCATTTTTAATCCCTCCCATGGAAAGTTTCATTTTTAATCCCTCCCATTTCCCAAAAAAAGCATGCTGATTGCTGACGACCGAAAAAAATCTAATCTTCCACATTTCATCATTTTGTTCAATTCCCAAATGAAAAAAAAAAGTAGTGGACCGCTTTAGACCATGAAAATGCAGCTTTATTATAAAAGTTTAAAAGGCCAAGACTTCTGTGGCCGATTGATGAAAAAGCCGAGTAATTTCTCCGAGGAAATTCAGAAATTCATTTTTTTACACATCTTCTTCAATCAGCATAGATGTTAAAAAAATCTGGCAACAAAGTTTAATTCTAAGAATATAACGCATTGAGATGTTATTGTCAATGACATACCAATTATCTGAGTTTTTTTAGATTGAAAATTTTGTTATATGGTATACAATTCAGTAACGAGAGAGAAAAATATAATTAGACATTTAACCTCTCTTTGGTAAAAATTAAAATGAAACATTTTAGCAAATTTTAATAAAAGTTAATGAAACGTGTGATTGAAAAGTTGTGGATCATATGTGGTTAAAATTAACTATTGACTTATAAAAATTTCGATTATAATTTCTACAAACGTGGGCTTAATCGTTTAGAGTTTGCATTAACTAATGATCGATCCAAGTAATGTTATTAATTAATGCACGAACAATTAATTAGGTCGTTCACGGCCATATACAACGATGAATAATATTATTATTTATTTTTTCATCGCGCCTTTCCCTTGCTTCTCTAATATCATATTAATTGATTAATTTAAAAACTTAATGGCAAATATTTCATAGTGAATAAATATAAAATATATAAGAATTTGAATTATTCCTTTTAAAATAAAATAATAGGTCTTTACATGCCTTCGTTTGGTGGGGATTAAAATAAGATTTTTAGTAGATTTTCATATAAGTTAATGAAATATATGATTAAAAAGTCGAAGGACCCATAAAATATGTGAATGAAATAAATTGTTGAATTTGATTTAAATTAACAATTCAACGTGACTAATAATCAAAGAAGCATACGAACTTCGAAATGTATGAAGCTCCTAATCTTAACAATGTCAAATTTGTAAAAACAAAGCATAAAATGACTCAGAACAAATAATTCATTTAACAATAAAGGGAAATTCCTAGAGAGTTGTTAAGGATATCTGAATAGCATTATTATTCTTAGAAAATACCATTGAACTTCCTAACTTTTCGCGTTCATTTCTTCAAGATTCTCTAACTTCATTTGTCTTTATATGTTGTTAATCTCTCCTTTCTTCAAGGCATTCAAACAAAACAATATGAAGATAAACCTTATGACTTCTTGATTGTAACTAAACCTTCTCTAGCTAACTCTCCAAGTGGTAAAAGGAGAAAGTGGAAAAACTTCAGCTTTGCTTGAGGCTGCCGTGTCAAAAGTTCGAATCCTGAAATATGGATTTGGTCCTTACGTAAATGTAAGTGTATAAGCAGTCTTCCACCCTTTACCCTTGGAGTCATAACATGCGATTTACCTCATTCACCAAGGCCCAGAGCGAGGCAGGTGGGAGCCGTCTGGGATGCTGCTCATCCTTTATTATTCCCAACTGTCTGTCATACATTTTATGACTTCTTGATTGTAACTAAACCTTCTCTCTAGCTAACTATTATTCCCAACTGTCTGTCATACATTTTATCAACTGTTTTGACAAAAAAATACACTGTTCAGGAACAAATCTTTTTCTTGCCCATGGCGGATTCAATGCTGAACTATGGAAATCCAGCAGAAGTCTCCATGTTCAGAATAAACAAGGAATGTCTAGCAATATTAGTGCAAGCGAACGACATCGACTCTCTTCAGCAATTTGGTTGCATGCCAGGATTAATGGAAGCATTAGAAACTAATGCAGAAACAGGAATAAGAGGGGACGCCGGAGATCTTTACCGCCGCCACAAAGCATTTGGCCCCAACTTATACTTGGAGGAGCAACCGTTTCCCACGGTGGTAGATGGCTTCTGTCGGCTAGCTTTGCTAGGTTTGAAAGACACTACAANGTAGAAATTAAAATAAAACTTTTTAGCAACCAAGACTTTTGTGGCTAATTGATGAAAAAGCTGAGTAATTTCTCCGAGGAAATTCAGAAATTTTCAAAAAAATCTCAACATAAATATATGAGTCATCTTGTACTGACATCTTGGATCACTTCTTTATTATCAGAATGTTCACATGGCAAAATTTCATTAATCCATTTAAAAAAAATAGTCAATTATGACATCCAATCATTTTTCTTACACATCTTCTTCTGTCAGTAAAGATGTTAAAAAATCTTGCAACAAAGTTTAATTCTAAAAATATAACCATTTAGGCATTGAGATGTTATTGTCAATGACATACAAATTATCTGAGTTTTTTTATATTGAAAATTTTGTTGTATGGTATACAATTCAGTAACGAGAGAGAAAAATATAATTAGACATTTAATCTCTCTTTGGTAGAAATTAAAATAAAACTTTTTAGCAACCAAGACTTTTGTGGCTAATTGATGAAAAAGCTGAGTAATTTCTCCGAGAAAATTCAGAAATTTTCAAAAAAATTTCAACATAAAAATATGAGTCATCATGTGCTGACATCTTGGATTGCTTCTTTATTATCAAAATGTTCACATGGCAAAATTTCGTTAATCCATTTAAAAAATAGTCAATTATGACATCCAATCAATTTTTTTACACATCTTCTTCTGTCAGTAAAGATGTTAAAAAATCTGGCAACAAAGTTTAAGTCCCCGTTTGAGCCACATTCTCATTTTCATTTTCATTTTCATTCTTCTACTCATTTTCAATCTCACATTTTTCAATAAAATAATATTTTCCATTACATCAATAACTTTTCATTCTTTTTCAACCACATATTCACCATCATATCACAAAAAAAAAAAGTATTCTTTCCATTTTAGTGTGCATCAAACACACTCTACCTCTAAAAATATCTCCATTTAGGCATTGGGATGTTATTGTCAATGACATGCAAATTATCTGAGTTTTTTTAGGTTGAAAAATTTGTTGTATAGTATACAATTCAGTAATGAGAGAAAAAAATATAATTAGACATTTAATCTCTGTTTGGTAGAAATTAAAATAAAACTTTTTACCAACCAAGACTTTTGTGGCTAATTGATGAAAAAGCTGAGTAATTTCTCCGACGAAATTGCAAAAAAAATCTCAACATAAAAATATGAGTCATCTTGTACTGACATCTTGAATCGCCTCTTTATTATCACAATGTTCACATGGCAAAATTTCGTTAACCCGTTTAAAAAATAGTTAATTATGACATCCAATCATTTTTTTACACATCTTCTTCTGTCAGTAAAGATGTTAAAAAATCTTGCAACAAAGTTTAATTCTAAAAATATAACCATTGAGGCATTGAGATGTTATTGTCAATG